TCAATGTGTCATACAAAGTAGGGGTGGGGTAAATATAGCCACCCTCAATGTGTCATAAAAGTAGGGGTGGGGTAAATATAGCCACCCTCAATGTGTCATACAAAGTAGGGGGTGGGAATAGCCACCCTCAATGTGTCATACAAAGTAGGGGTGGGGTAAATATAGCCACCCTCAATGTGTCATACAAAGTAGGGTGGGGTAAATATAGCCACCCTCAATGTGTCATACAAAGTAGGGGTGGGTAAATATAGCCACCCTCAATGTGTCATACAAAGTAGGGGTGGGGTAAATATAGCCACCCTCAATGTGTCATACAAAGTAGGGGTGGGGTAAATATAGCCACCCTCAATGTGTCATACAAAGTAGGGGTGGGGTAAATATAGCCACCCTCAATGTGTCATACAAAGTAGGGGTGGGGTAAATATAGCCACCCTCAATGTGTCATACAAAGTAGGGGTGGGGTAAATATAGCCACCCTCAATGTGTCATACAAAGTAGGGGTGGGGTAAATATAGCCACCCTCAATGTGTCATACAAAGTAGGGGTGGGGTAAATATAGCCACCCTCAATGTGTCATACAAAGTAGGGGTGGGTAAATATAGCCACCCTCAATGTGTCATACAAAGTAGGGGTGGGGTAAATATAGCCACCCTCAATGTGTCATACAAAGTAGGGGTGGGGTAAATATAGCCACCCTCAATGTGTCATACAAAGTAGGGGTGGGGTAAATATAGCCACCCTCAATGTGTCATACAAAGTAGGGGTGGGGTAAATATAGCCACCCTCAATGTGTCATACAAAGTAGGGGTGGGGTAAATATAGCCACCCTCAATGTGTCATACAAAGTAGGGGTGGGGTAAATATAGCCACCCTCAATGTGTCATACAAAGTAGGGGTGGGGTAAATATAGCCACCCTCAATGTGTCATACAAAGTAGGGGTGGGTAAATATAGCCACCCTCAATGTGTCATACAAAGTAGGGGTGGGGTAAATATAGCCACCCTCAATGTGTCATACAAAGTAGGGGTGGGTAAATATAGCCACCCTCAATGTGTCATACAAAGTAGGGGTGGGTAAATATAGCCACCCTCAATGTGTCATACAAAGTAGGGGTGGGGTAAATATAGCCACCCTCAATGTGTCATACAAAGTAGGGGTGGGAGTAAATATAGCCACCCTCAATGTGTCATACAAAGTAGGGGTGGGGTAAATATAGCCACCCTCAATGTGTCATACAAAGTAGGGTGGGGTAAATATAGCCACCCTCAATGTGTCATACAAAGTAGGGGTGGGGTAAATATAGCCACCCTCAATGTGTCATACAAAGTAGGGGTGGGGTAAATATAGCCACCCTCAATGTGTCATACAAAGTAGGGGTGGGGTAAATATAGCCACCCTCAATGTTTCATACAAAGTAGGGGTGAGGTAAATATAGCCACACTTAATGTGTCATACAAAGTAGGGGTTGGAGTAAATATAGCCATCCTCAATGTGTCATACAAAGTAGGGGGTGGGTAAATATAGCCACCCTCAATGTTTCATACAAAGTAGGGGTGAGGTAAATATAGCCACACTCAATGTGTCATACAAAGTAAGTAGGTGGGGTAAATATAGCCACCCTCAATGTGTCATACAAAGTAGGGGTGGGGTAAATATAGCCACCCTCAATGTGTCATACAAAGTAGGGGTGGGGTAAATATAGCCACCCTCAATGTGTCATACAAAGTAGGGGTGGGGTAAATATAGCCACCCTCAATGTGTCATACAAAGTAGGGGTGGGTAAATATAGCCACCCTCAATGTGTCATACAAAGTAGGGGTGGGGTAAATATAGCCACCCTCAATGTGTCATACAAAGTAGGGGTGGGGTAAATATAGCCACCCTCAATGTGTCATACAAAGTAGGGGTTGGGTAAATATAGCCACCCTCAATGTGTCATACAAAGTAGGGGTGGGGTAAATATAGCCACCCTCAATGTGTCATACAAAGTAGGGGGTGGGGTAAATATAGCCACCCTCAATGTGTCATACAAAGTAGGGGTGGGGTAAATATAGCCACCCTCAATGTGTCATACAAAGTAGGGGTGGGGTAAATATAGCCACCCTCAATGTGTCATACAAAGTAGGGTGGGTAAATATAGCCACCCTCAATGTGTCATACAAAGTAGGGGTGGGGTAAATATAGCCACCCTCAATGTGTCATACAAAGTAGGGGTGGAGTAAATATAGCCACCCTCAATGTGTCATACAAAGTAGGGGTGGGTAAATATAGCCACCCTCAATGTGTCATACAAAGTAGGGGTGGGGTAAATATAGCCACCCTCAATGTGTCATACAAAGTAGGGGTGGGGTAAATATAGCCACCCTCAATGTGTCATACAAAGTAGGGGTGGGTAAATATAGCCACCCTCAATGTGTCATACAAAGTAGGGGTGGAGTAAATATAGCCACCCTCAATGTGTCATACAAAGTAGGGGTGGAGTAAATATAGCCACCCTCAATGTGTCATACAAAGTAGGGGGTGGGTAAATATAGCCACCCTCAATGTGTCATACAAAGTAGGGGTGGGGTAAATATAGCCACCCTCAATGTGTCATACAAAGTAGGGGTGGGGTAAATATAGCCACCCTCAATGTGTCATACAAAGTAGGGGTGGGGTAAATATAGCCACCCTCAATGTGTCATACAAAGTAGGGGTGGAGTAAATATAGCCACCCTCAATGTGTCATACAAAGTAGGGGTGGGGTAAATATAGCCACCCTCAATGTGTCATACAAAGTAGGGGTGGGGTAAATATAGCCACCCTCAATGTGTCATACAAAGTAGGGGTGGGTAAATATAGCCACCCTCAATGTGTCATACAAAGTAGGGGTGGGGTAAATATAGCCACCCTCAATGTGTCATACAAAGTAGGGGTGGAGTAAATATAGCCACCCTCAATGTGTCATACAAAGTAGGGGTGGGTAAATATAGCCACCCTCAATGTGTCATACAAAGTAGGGGGTGGGTAAATATAGCCACCCTCAATGTGTCATACAAAGTAGGGGTGGGGTAAATATAGCCACCCTCAATGTGTCATACAAAGTAAGGGGTGGAGTAAATATAGCCACCCTCAATGTGTCATACAAAGTAAGGGGTTGGGTAAATATAGCCACCCTCAATGTGTCATACAAAGTAGGGGTGGGGTAAATATAGCCACCCTCAATGTGTCATACAAAGTAGGGGTGGGGTAAATATAGCCACCCTCAATGTGTCATACAAAGTAGGGGGGGAGGTAAATATAGCCACCCTCAATGTGTCATACAAAGTAGGGGTGGAGTAAATATAGCCACCCTCAATGTGTCATACAAAGTAAGGGGTGGAGTAAATATAGCCACCCTCAATGTGTCATACAAAGTAGGGGTGGGGTAAATATAGCCACCCTCAATGTGTCATACAAAGTAGGGGGTGGGGTAAATATAGCCACCCTCAATGTGTCATACAAAGTAGGGGTGGAGTAAATATAGCCACCCTCAATGTGTCATACAAAGTAGGGGTGGGGTAAATATAGCCACCCTCAATGTGTCATACAAAGTAGGGGTGGAGTAAATATAGCCACCCTCAATGTGTCATACAAAGTAGGGGTGGGGTAAATATAGCCACCCTCAATGTGTCATACAAAGTAGGGGTTGGGTAAATATAGCCACCCTCAATGTGTCATACAAAGTAGGGGTGGGGTAAATATAGCCACCCTCAATGTGTCATACAAAGTAGGGGTGGGGTAAATATAGCCACCCTCAATGTGTCATACAAAGTAGGGGTGGGGTAAATATAGCCACCCTCAATGTGTCATACAAAGTAGGGGGATGGGTAAATATAGCCACCCTCAATGTGTCATACAAAGTAGGGGGTGGGGTAAATATAGCCACCCTCAATGTGTCATACAAAGTAGGAGGTGGGGTAAATATAGCCACCCTCAATGTGTCATACAAAGTATTGAGTGAGGTAAATATAGCCACCCTCAATGTGTCATACAAAGTAGGTCAATAAGACATACTTGAATTAGTTCAAAATGGAGAATCATGGGCACAGAGCAACAAAATATTGTGTAAGTACAATATTTTGCAAAATGACCTAAGCTGTCATGTCTGCCATCTCCTGCAATGAACACTGTTTTTTTCTGCTTCTTAATTGTTTCCAACATGTTCAGCTTGTATTTCCTCCTATGGATCCTGAACATTGGGAAAAGCAATTCATGATAAAGAAATTTCAAATGAATATAAAAAACACAACTTTAAACCTTGGTAATCAGGAAAATCAAAACAACCTACTTATCCTTTGATGTTTGAAGAATGTGGTCAAAGATATGCCTTGAACACCCATGTGTGTGAATACTCAAAGTACCTTGCTAGAAGAAGCTCCAGACAATAAACTTTGGTTGCTTCCTAAGGTTACTTTCTTCTTTGTTCACATTTATTGTTAGAACAATACATGTATATATTATATTTTGTCTGTTGAGAGACACAAATGATAACACTGGAAGACTAAATAATGCATATGTACAGCACAATCATACTTTCTTGATTGGTTTGTTTCATCTTCAGATTCTAGCTCTTCACTTTGCGAAGAATCTGTTTCAATGTCATAGTTGTCAGAACCTATGGACCATATTTATATGTTAATAAAATTTGTGGTATATAATTTCAGTTATTAGCATTGAAATCAAACTTCCCCTTCCTTTTCCATCTCACTACCAATGTCAATATCCATATCCATGTTGTCATCATCACTACCATCCTGCTTTTCTTCCTCATTCTCATTATCCACCTTGACACATTTTACTACTGTTCCAACCAGTTTACATACTTTCTTTTTTTCTATGAAATCATGATATACACAGGTGTTACAATACTCATATTTTAGTAATTTAATAGCAGCCATGTATGTATTTAAATGACATAGAGACACTACAAGAATATATGCTCTTGAAGAAACCAAATTGAATGTAATAAAACAATTTACCTTCAGTAAGTTGTTGGATAATAGCATTCTTGCTTTCTATTGTTCTCTTCAATTGCCTCGTGTTTTCTTTGTATTTAACACATTGCCTGCAATATTCTTCTTCAGTTTGGCAAAACTCATACTGAACCTATAAAAAGATATAATCTTTAGATCTTACAATCTACTAGTGTAAAAAGTCTTTTGAATAAATTATTGGAATAAATTCAATACCTGTACTTCCGCTTGTACTGCCATTGTTTGAACTCACAAGACATCATCAAAAAATTCAACATCAGTATCACTGTCTTCCAAAGAGGTAGCATTTTCAGCTCCAAAAGTGTCTTGACTAGAAGGGCAAGGACCTGTTTCTGTGCTACACAAAATGTCTCTAACAACCTACAATAAAATACAATATGGTATCAACTGCAAAAATTAAATTTCCATTACAAAATCTTTGACGAATTCAAAACAAGCTTCCTTCTTCGAAGTTATCAGTCTCACGCGGATTATATATAGGATTCAAAACAAAAATCCTTACCTGTCTACGATTCCTTTCAGAAGGCGCACTTTCTTTCGTCAGTCTTTCTGAGAAATGAACAAAAGGAAAAGCAAACACACCAACTTTGACACACACCAGTCTACTTGTTTGCCCTTGCAAACTAGTATACCGTTTGGTAAAATCTTCATGTTTGAAGTGCAGCGAGCAAATGCTCGACATCTTTGATATGGGGCATTTTGCTCGTTTTAAAGCGACAAAATATAGCCACTTTTCCTCCTTTTCTTTTTTATAGGATCTTCTGATCCCTAAAAAGAAATGCGGTGAAGTCCTATGCCCTTTTCCCGGCAAGGAGCGTTAGAACAGCCAGCAACTATACAGCGATTAGGCATATCAAATGCTGAAATGTTACTTACATGACGTCACGCTTTCCTTAAGTGACCGCGTAGTTCCAGTCTATCGCCGGGAAACCGAGCGACTCAAATGGCCAGTTTTTTTATGATTTTAATTGAGTGTAGCACGAGAACTATTTGTTCAACGAAGAAAAAAATTTGGTATTTAACGTTTTACATTACGTTCATTTAGTATACGAAAAATCCCATAAGCTTTATAGACACTTTAAGTGAACGATTTCAAGATATTAATCAGTTCGAGTTTTTAGATCTCGTAAATCCTAAACTATTTACTACCAGGAAGGGCAGAGTTTTACAGGAGAAGATCAATCTTCTCAAAGATAAATATAGTCCTCTTTTTGACATTCCAACTTTGGACAGTCAACTTTCCTTCATTTGCAACGACAAGGATTTCACAAAGAGTGCAGTAATGAGGTGCTTAAATACATCTACAAATTTAATCTCCAGTCGAGTTTACGTCAAGTGATAAATTTGTTAAAATTGAATGTTGTCTTGGCAGTGGCAAGTGCTTCAGTAGAGAGGTCGTTTTCTTGCTTGAAAAGGGTCAAAAGCTATTTGATGAATAGAAAGTGTCAATGTCGGCTTAGCTTTTTGTGTAGAATATCTATTCACAAGATATCATTGAACAAAAATAGGAATCAGGCAACACATTGTCATAGGACAGGCATTTATGGCTATACCTATATTTAAAATAATTATGTTCTCAGTTATAATTTTATTGGCAAATGTATGTGGTTCAGTCAGAAAACGAACTTTTTTGAAATTCATTCACTCGGATGAAGTGTTTAAAGTAAAGGAGATGATTTTTTTTCTTTTTACGTAGTTTATGTGTAGAAAAGAATAGCCATTTTTCATGACATATAATAGTACATACGAATGCTTCAATTTGATTAAATGAAATTTTGGCTTTCTAAAAATGTTCATAATGGTTATTGACACTTTCATCCAATTTTTGGGGTAGATGGGATTATAATTTACATTCGTTACCTCAAGTGAAAGGTGGTCTTCTAGCTGGTGGATAGTGAATTTCAGCAGGTGGTTTATTAGCTTTATCTACCGCTACATAAGTTATAAAGCATACATATTTCTAAGTGGTATAAAATATCCCTTACAATTCAGCCCGATGTTATACTTGGAAATGTACAATTACTTATAAGGTTTTAAAGTGCCCATGACAATAAAATTTTTGTTTGCAATGACCAGAACTTTTAAAATGACAGTGTACTTTCTAAAAAAGTTAATGCATATCTCTTTTCCTTCGCGAGATATTGAAGTTTTTGTTATTTCTATTTCATCCAACTTGTGACGTCATATTGCATAATGAGTTCTAAAAATTTTTCTAATACTCTTAATTTTCCTGATAACTTTAGGTTGATACTATTAGGCAGCATTTTTTACCATTAAACACGCCACAGCAAATGAAACTATGTCCTTGTGAAGTAAAGTATCGTTAAATATACCTAATACTCATAACTCTCATTATGCAATGTGACGTCACAAGTTAGATAAATCGGACATAGCATAAACTTCAATATCTCAAGAATTAAAAGTGATATGCATAAACTATTTTAGAAAGTACACTGTCAATTCAAAAGTTTTACTCATTGCAAACATAAATATTTTCGTGTCATTGGCCTTTTAAAGAAGCATACTATTTGGTTTGTAAACGAATACAAAATAATTTATAGTCTTGTGAAGATTAATGAAGATTAGTTACTATTACAAGCCAATCCTCGCTGCCAAAGTCAAACACAGTTGTACAATCCTGAAAATCTAGCTGTCATATGTTACAACTCATTGTAAAATAAGAACGTTTCTAAAATCTTAATTAAATAGATGCAGTACACTCTAGAATAAAGCCAAACAACTTAAGAGGCAAAAATGTCAGCCTTCGTCAATTCAAGAAAAATCTTTCGCACTTATTATACATTATATAAATCGTGTTGTTTTTAATGTTTGCAACATTGTGTTTTAAAGGCTGCAGTAACTGGAGAAAGCTGTAGCATTGTTCTTTGTCATTTAGAAGTTATTTACGTTCTTTTTTTGTTATAGTATGCTCTTTGCTGTGTTTAAAAGGATGCAGTAACTGCAGAAAGCTGTAGCATTGTTCTTTGTCATTTAGAAGTTATTTACGTTCTTTTTTTGTTATAGTATGCTCTTTGTTGTGTTTAAAAGGGCTGTAGTAACTGGAGAAAGCTGTAGCATTGTTCTTTGTCATTTAGAAATTATTTACGTTCTTTTGCTGTTATAGTATGCTCTTTGCGAAGTGAATTCAATAAAATAAAAAAGCCCAAAAGCTCAAAATTTATATAAATGATTTACAAAACTTTAAACTAAAACTATCACACAATTAATACTGAGTGCTTTCATGTGACATAAATGTGCGGATACCTACCAGATGATATGGGATCTGAGATGATAAAATCAACATAACTTTGCACTATTTTCTATCTGTGGAGTAAATACAAGGTCTTCCAGCAGTTATAAGATTATTTTGAAACTTTACTCAGTAAATGTGAGTGTGAGAGAGTTTTTAGAATATAGGCAATAGAGAGCGCCGTAGTTAACCTTACGTGTATTTAGGTGTATATTCAATATTCATTTAAGAAATCTTAAATACATAGCACTTGTATTTTAGTTGTGTGGATTTAGGCACAAAATAATTTTCATAGTTACAGAGCATGAAATAAGAAAATATCAGAAAATGAGGAAAACTATGAATATTTTTCTATAAAACTAATTAAAATATTATTGAGTCATTTACAATGCTGTTAATCACTCAATCTCATGAAAATGTTATTTAATTCAACTATTTTATATGGTTCAGCTACGTAATTAATGTGAGATAGTAAAACACAAAAAATTCTACTTATGGAATTATGCACAACTCCTGATGGTCAGCTTTATACGAAATGGAACTCCCAAGAGCTCAAAACACCAAGGCCAGATTTTTAGTAATTATAATAATTTCAGAAATACAATTTTTTATCGTGTACAAGTTTATTATGTTGGACGAATGTAGTGCAAAATTTATCAGTGCAGCTAAAAGTTAACTTTTAATGTCATATTCGCCTTCAGTCTTTTTCCAAAACAATTTACAGTAAAAATTAAATAATCAGGTATATTACATTGTATCAATGAATACCACAGGCTATAGATTCAGCAGAAATGTGGTGAATTATCATCTAAATACGTCGTGGAAACTGTTTTTTTTTTATATATCTGTAAAATAAGATCTTTACTGTATCAATGATTTCCTAATAGCTACTTTTTTACCCCCAACAGGTTCTGTTGTATCTAAATTAATTATTGATGTGGTTCGCTTTCATCAAAATTAAAAAAGTTCTTGAGTTCTGGTTTGTTTTTCAATTCTTTATTTGACCTGACAGCAGCATGTACCCGAACAGGGAGATTAGGAAATGTTCGGAGAAAATACGCCCTGTAATCGCCAATCTTGTAAAATAATTCTGGTTGTGGTAGAAGTAGTTTTTGATCGTTCCAATGCTGGCGAGTATTTCGAATGAGCCTTAAGCATTCTGCCCATGAAGATGTATAACGGACCTCATAGATTTTTCCATTTTTCTCGTACGTGCGAAAATAATCATAGACATCCCAATTAATTTGACTTTTCCAAAGTACGCATTCGCTATTCAATTGTTGAACGACACTTGACTGGAGATCATTTGTCTTAATCTGATGAAGATTTCCAACTTCACATAACATTTCAAACTTCTCATCATCTGACATGAGAAATGGGTGTTTTAATGCTTCGTTAGAATATGGTCTCTCTTCAGGATTCAGATTTAACATCCACGACAGAAGGTCCTTTAGTGCCTCATCCTCGATTTCATCCAAACCAATAGGGTTTCCATTCAGCATGTTGTCCAGTCTATACCGTTGAATTCCAAAAGGATGTTTTCCTTTTGTTGCAACATAATAAGCTACCATCCCTGCATTCTAAAATAATAAAAAGCGTTACATCAAAATGCAATTTCACAACATTGAGTTTCTTTACAACTTACAAATGTTTACATTCCTACACTTACATATACATCAGACTTTCTTTTGTAACGCGCTTTGTTTACTGAATCATCATCTTCGCAATATGATTCAGGAGCTATCCAATGCAAAGTTCCCATGAAAGAATTGCTTTTATATGTTGTAGTGTCATTCTTCATTATTCGACTTATGCCAAAGTCAGCTATCAGAAATTTGCTTTTTGAGTCTCGCAGAACATTGGAAGGCTTCAAATCCCGATGTAGAATAGGATTTGGGTCGCTATGAAGATCAGCTAATCCTTTTAAAATTTGTCTAAGAATATCAGGAAGAGCTTTTTGAAGATCATGCAAAGTAGAATCTTTCACAAACTTCACCAGTGATTCTTCACATAAGTCTAAGATCAAATAAACATAATCCGTTCCATTATCTTCGTCTAAGTAGAAATAATTCACAACATATTTCGACTTTCTTGCTTTAGTATCATTCAAAATTTTTTTTTCTTGCTGTGCAAGCTGGATAAAGCTATCTCGATGTATTCGTTTGACTGCTTTACCGTAACCATCTTTACCCAGTCCAAGATAAACACGGGTTGCATTACTTCCTTCGCCAATGCAAAATTCTTCTGAGAATATTACACGTACATTTCCCACCACTTTAACCTCAACACTGCGATTGCGCCCATATTCAATCAATTTTAAAAACAATTCTCTATGTTTCGTTGATTCATCAATGTATTTCCACTCTTCTAGATAAAAATATTATAATCAAGGGAAACAAAATAAATACATTAAAATAGCTTAAACTTCCCCAGTTATGAAAGGATACTGATACCGTACACTTTTAAAAAAACGTATTAACAATTATTAGACATATCATAAATTTTTTAACTGGTAACATTCGAGGTTATACCAAACAATTAATCACAAAAACTTTTCTCTGCAGTAATTTCATGAATTTTCCTAAAGGAATAACCTTGCGTTTTTCGAAAATATTGAATTAAAATTTTGAGAACAAATATAACATTGAAGTTTGATCTCAACAATTATTCTCTCAAACCTTGCTTGGACATCTTAAAGTGCAAATGAAACGAAACTTTTGCTAGTTAAATTATATCTGTATTGACCAGAACTTTTGTAAGGACAGAGTGCTTTCTAAAACCTTTTCTGCATGACTTTTTTCATTCTCAAAATACTGAAGTCCTTGCAATTACCAATTTATCAAACTTGTGACATAATATTGTATGAAAAATGAGTCACTGCAATGTTTCAAATACCCTCAAATTTCTTGACAACTTTAGGTTGATAATGGTACGCATATTTTATATCATTAACACGTCACAAAGAAGGAAACTCCGCCATGTTAAAATAATGTGTCAGCAAATATATTTAATACATCTAGTTCTCATTATGCAATGTAACATCATAAGAATCGGACATAATAAAAACTTCTATATCTCGTGAATGAAAAGTGATATGCATAAGCTAGTACAGGAAGTCCATTATCATATTGAAATGTCTGTTCAATAAAAGTATAACACAGGTTGCTAAATTTTCGTTTCATAGGCATTTTATGCTTTAACTCTTAATTATCTAACACGTACTGTTTCTCCTATTCACCTTAGTAAAGTGAACCTCGTTATCTTTATTTCTGCAATCTCAAAGTCTACCTCATGCTTTTTCTCATTCTCTTGCAACATTGTTAGTATTAAAATAGAGACTTCGTTGTGGTGGCAAATCTGAAAATTGTTTTCAAGATCACAAAAACCATAGTGAATTACTTTTACCATTCACAATGGTATTTGCAGACTTCAAAACGATTGCTAGTATTGTTTTCCATTTTCCGAATTGAAAATGGTTATTTGCAGTTTTCAGTTATTTATTAAGCATATGATGATTCATTTGCGAGAAACAGTTTGTCTGTCATGTGTCTGTTGTGTCAGGGTTTTTGTTATCGAGAAAATTTCCTTTTTGAGGAAAATTAGACCATTAAACTTACACTTACCAAGCTCCACGTTATTTCTTATATCTTCCATATCTTGTTTTGTTTTCTCATCAACAGTATGCCCTTTTTGTAACCTTTCAAGATAACTTGGCTCATCAGTACTGAGGGGAGCTTTCTTTAATTCATCTATTTCAGTTTGTTGAATACCCAGACCAACCAATGCTTTTGAAATTTCTTGCCACAAGTCCTCAAACTCACTGTCATTTAAACTAGTTGTAGTTAATTGACCGTACACTTTGTTTCGATAAAACTTTATTCTTGCAATGTTTGCTGAGATTGAGGTATCTGAAGAGGGAGAAAGACTATCCCATCCACCACGTGGCGTTGTTAGACCACATATGTTACGCAATAAGACAAACAATAATGTGATATCAAAGTTTTCAATGTCCGGTGAACCAGTTGATGGATAAAGAAGATCCCATTTCTCTTTGTGGATGATTTTATTCTTTTTTAGTGAGGTCAATTTACTCTTTGTAGAAGGATCATTAAGTATATCTTTTAAGTTTGATGATTGATGGCTTATAAGGAGTTGAAATGTTGTTTTTAAGGCTTGTGTTCCTTTATTTATCAAAAGTTTACTTATACAAGCAAAATTTTCCTCAAACTTTAATTTTTCAGGTAGCAAAGCCATTTTTTATTCTAGAAATAAGGAATGAGTTTGTGAAACAAAGTATAATTTAAAATGTACAAAATGTTCACAAACGTTAAAAGGATAAATTAAAAATAGTACTACAAGTCATTTATAAAGACTTGTGTGCTTTATTTCTTTTTTCCATAAAAATTGTGTTCACTGCCTAGTGACGTGACCCAGTAATTGATCTTACATCAAGATAATAAAGTAGTAGACTTGATACAATGAAAAAACACTTAAAATGATAAGATTTAGCAAACTCGGCGTAAGAGGAAGCAACTACCTTGCAATAGTAACTCCTAGTAAATAAATAATAAATCTTCTTTATATTGTTGCCAATGAGGTGCCAGGCGGGAAACGGAAATATTAGAGCCCAACAAATAATTTTAAACATAGTCATAAACAATTTGGTTTTATGAAATTTATTAAAAGGGACGATTCGTCTTTACTCGAGACATCTTCAGACTAATTAGGAAGTTAACAAGAATATAGATATATATAGAGCTATTTACATAGTTTGAGGTATCAGGTTACTGTGAATGTGTAAGTGTGATGGGATGTATTGTGTGATGTATTGTTAGGGTGAGGTGTTGAGACTAGAAAAGCTTAAGAGGGATGGAGCTGCCTTGGGTGTTAAGTGAAGGTTTTAGTTTGGAGATGAGGAGGCTTTCGTGGATCATGAGGTCGAATGTGTCGGAGCAGGATGAGATGATTTTAAAGTCGTCTGGCGAAGCAGGATGATTGGAGGAGTTACTATGAGAAAGAATACTTGACATTAAAGTTCGTAGGTTACTGAATTCGATGTGGGTGAGTCCATGAAATTGTTTATGGTTAGTAAAAAAAAGATCGCAGATGATATTGTTTCATGAAGGGGAATGTTGGAGAAAAGAGAAGTTGCGTCAAAACTAGCCATAACAACTTTGTCAGAGTTGATGTTGGTGTTAAGTATTTCTTGTACGAAGGAAAATGAATCCTTTATCATGAAAGAGTTTGCGGAGATGGGTGTAAGCAGCAGAAATAAAAATTTGGCTAGTTTATATGAGTAGTGATTTATAGAAGATAGAATGGGTCGTAAGGGAATGGTTGGTTTGTGAATTTTCGGAAGTCCATATAGTATACTTATGCGTAAGCCAGTCGAATAGAATTTATTGTACGTTTATTCATCAATTGATTTCGTTTTCTTGAGTTGTTTGAGTAATGATTTCACCTGGGTTTAACGTTGTAGGGTGACTTTCACAGGGTCTTCGTTTATGCGTTCAAATTTTGAGGAATCGGAGAGGACTTCTGACATTTTGTTATAGTAGTCGGTTTTATCAAGCATGACAACGGCATTGACATTATATCAGGTTTCATGACAACAAAGCTATTCTCATTCTTCAGGTCATTTAGAACGTTGATTTCGTCCTTTGAAAATAAAAAACTAGGGCGGCTGTAGCTGCGAAGACCAGATAGTGCGATGTCTTTCATTCGATTTTTTACGGATTTATAGTGAAAACCAGAGTGTTCATAGATGCTTTCAATATGAGTTGCGGCGATGAATTTTTCGAAGGGTGCGAGAAAATTACAGTGGTTTAACTTAGTAGGTGGAATGGCAAAATTTATATAAATCTTATTTGTCTAAGAATTGTGTGGTGAAGGGATACATTATTTTTTTAACAGGATATATTAAACTCGTTTGTGGGGTTGTATGAACATTTGCTTATTAACATTTTGATAGGACTATATTGCTGATGATTCTGTTCTAATTGAAATTTTTGCTAAACTGCAGTTTAGCGGACACCCGAAGCGCTTGTGACCGCGGGCTCGTTTTTGCTTGTGATTATAGGGTAGGGTTTGGGTCAGCGGCCAAGATGTCCACTAAACTGCAGTAGTCCCCCATAGGACCACAGCTTCACATCATATATTTAAATTTATCGTCATTTTTAGCAATCTGTTAAATCCAAATCGTCATCATTACTAATTCAAATCAAAATAAAGAAAACTATCTCCTATCTGCTTTACATTTTCCTCACCAAAACACAGAACACAGGGTGAGAGATAAACAACGCGACATATGAATAAAATACAGAACAAAATACAATTACGGACTGCACAGAGTATCAAGTTCCTTGTATTTTTTGCCCATATGAGATATATTTGACGTCTGTAATCACCAGTAAAGCGTATAAATGAATGATATTTTCAGCTGCAAGGTTTTGACTATAGTCACTAAAACAAAGTGCAGATTATACGCTCTAAAGCATAGGTAATTAAAGAACAACATAAGTATTTACTTTACTTAAGACAATTCTATTCGTGATTGTTCACATATGCGACTATCACCGATGACACAGCAGAGGATATCACGACGAACAAACACTGCCTGCCTCATTGCCTCACTCAGACACTTTTACAGTATGGCATAGTGGTTAGCCACGCATGCACAGCGGCTACCCACAAATTTAACTAGTGATGCATTATATTATTGTTATAATACAGTATAACTTGACGTCTTCAACTGTTCCCCCCAAAAAAATGCTGTTGCGCCCACAAATTTTACATCCTAGCCACATGCCTGCTCATATTGACAACACTTAAAGCGTGATTCCGTTTGAAGATGTTACGAGAATTTCTAAAAATTTAACAATTGATGAATATCTTCTGCATGATGAGACAACGTAAGAAAAGGTACAAATAATACACGAATCATTCATTACTTTTTCTACAAACTTCAATTTTGCAATTTTGATGTGTCCAAATGGGGAGGCGCCGGCCCCTATTATATAACTGGCCCAAGGCACAATGCCCCATGCCTATCACCTCACTGAGGGCCTGGCCTGACAGTCAGTGAAATTTCTCAAATTTGTGTTGTTACACGATTTAATTCAAGTAACTAAAACAGTTAGACACGTTGGAAAACAAAACAAGTATCTTGATTTCAGTTTCTCAGTGTACATGCTAAATCAAAGTTCATCTAAGAATAAATTACGTGCAAAATGAATGATGATGAAATATGTACGTTATCTGGCGTTCATTTTGACCCCTTGAACATAATCTTTACTTTACATTTGTACATTGTATTGTTTAATAGTATAATTATATTAAAAAATAATGATTGATGATGAAATATATACGTTATCATAAGTTCATTTTGACCGCTGGAACCTAATCTTTATTTTACATTTGTACATTGTACTGTTTACTTAAGTTTAATTATATTTAAAAAAAATGTCACATTATGACATGGCATCTGTGAATGTCAAGCGCATCACTGACTATAGTGGATGATTTGAAACAAAAAATGAAACCTACGTTCCAGTCGTGGTATTAAATATATCTTTAAAAGTCACTTATAGAATCATTCAAATGATTTTCATTTGGAATGGAAATAAACATTGATTTGCTTATAAAGTTTCACAAGTTTTAACTCTGGAATAGAGAATCACCTATTTAAGACAGGATTTGAATGTCATTGATTAAGACACGATTTTCGAAACTGTAACTGGATTTTCCCTTTATTATTCAAAAATTCCATACTTGTATATTCTTGCATAAGTCAGTTCTTATTATAAAAAACCTTTGTTATTGAATAAACCATTGTAAATTATAAATACATGGCAAACATCAACTGCACGCAATTATAATTACTTAGGATCAATAAAGACACTGTAGATACAACAGAAAAGGATGCAATAAAAGTAAACCTTAAAACTGTTATACAAACATGATCAAAAGTATAAATTTAAAAGCTCACTTTGCTGCATGAATCAACACGTCACAAAAATAGATTCGATCGCATTCTTCCTCTGTGTGTAAATTTATTCTTCCTGTGTTTAACATTCGCTTACTTTTCAAATTTTCTTACTTTAAAAAAACACGGTTTGTTGTATACAACTATCAACATTTTGCTAGACACACAGAGATAAGTCAAAAGTTGCGTCAGCAAAGAAGGGAGGTGATGCATGATTGGACATGCTATCCTCCCTACATAAATTTTCACAGATTAACATTTTTTCTATAGACAAGTATGCTATTTCACCTCTCCTATACCTTTGAACGTGCTTTGCTTTTCTTTACCATGCAGCTTATTGTCAATAGTTAGAAAGTTGGTATATGAATTTAGATATAATTTCTCATGCATGTTCAGTCACACCTTATCAAGATGCTGCTTTAGCTAATTTGTTATGTCGGTAATGTAGTTCTAAAATATCGCTTAATTTTTCTAAAATTACTTCCGTTTTAGAAGTAAGACGACCGTGTGAACAAAATTATGCTTGCTTTAGTTCTTTACATGTCACATACTCAACAAACTGATGAAAGATTTAATATAAACAACGTGACCACATACATATCAAATTAAAAATGGTGATAAAAGTTCATACCTTATTGTAACATCAATCTTTTATCCATGTGAGTTTTGTTACATACACACATTTGAATAACGAACAAAGATGAAGAGTGAGTCAGGATCTCCTTCAACAAACAGTATTAAAACACATTAATGACGTCTATGTAGAGCATTCTAGTTATATAACTAATTATACATCACTGACTAAAAACAATTGTTATAGAAATTAAAATACATAAATAAGAACCTCATGCAGAGTAATAATAACATTGAGATTAGTCAAATTCCAAAGGACTGCTGCTATATCTTATAAAGTTTCACAAGTTTTAACTGAGGAATAGAGAATCGCCTATCTAAGATAGGATTTGATTGCCAATGGTTAAGACACGATTTTCAAAACTGTGAACGGATTTTTCCCTTCATTAAACAAAAATTCCATACATGTATATTCTTGCATAAATCAGTTCATATTATAAAAAAACCTTTGTTATTAAATAAAACTTTGTAAATCATTAATACATTTTAAACATCAGCTGCATAAAAATTGTAATTATTTATATGTTCAATAAAAACACTGTAGATACAACAGTAAAGGATGCAATAAAAGTAAACCTTAAAACTGCTATACAAACATGATCAAAAGTATAATTTTAAAAGCACACTGTGCTGCATGAATCAACATGTCACAAAAATAGATTCGGTTGCGTTCTTCCTCTGTGTGTAAATACATTCTTCTTGTGTTTAACATTTGCTTACTTTTCAAATTTTCTTACTTTAAAAAAAACGGTTTGTTGAATACAACTATCAACATTTTGCTAGACACACAGAGATTAGTCAAAAGTTGCGTCAGCAAAGAAGGGAGGTGAAGCATGATTGAACATGCTATCCTCCCTACCTAAATTTTCACAGATTCCCATTTTTTCCACAGACAGGTATGCTATTTTACCTCTCCCATACCTTTGAGCAGGTTTTGCTTTCCTTTACCATGCAGCTTATTGTCAATAGTTAGAAAGTTGGTACATGAATTTAGATATGACTTCTCGTGCATGTTAACTCATACTTTATCGCGACGCTGCTTTAGCTAATTTGTTATGTTTGTAGTGTAATTCTAAAATTACTTCCGTTTTAGAAGTAAGACGACCGTGTGAACTAAATTATGCTTGGTTTAGTTCTTTACATGTCACATACTCAACAAACGGATGAGAGATTTAATATAAATAACGCGACCACATATATATCAGATTAAAAATGGTGATGAAAGTTCATACCTTATTGTAATATCAATCTTTTATCCCTGTGAGTTTCGTTTCATAAACACATTTAAATAACGAACGAAGATGAAGAGTGAGTCAGGATCTGCTTCAACAAACAGTATTAAAACACATTAATGAAGTCTATGTAGAACATTCTAGTTATATAACTAAGTATACATCACTGACTAAGAACAATTGTTATAGAAATAAAAATACATAAATAAGAACCTCATGCAGAGTACATAATAACATTGAGATTAGCCAAATTACAAAGGATTACTGCTAAATCTTACAAAGTTTCACAAGTTTTAACTCAGGAATAGAGAATCACCTATCTAAGACAGGATTTGAATGCCAATGATTAAGACACGATTTTCGAAACTGTGGACGGATTTTTTCCCTTCATTAATCAAAAATTCCATACATGTATATTCTTGCATAAATCAGTTCATATTATAAAAAATCTTTGTTATTAAATAAATTTTTGTAAATCATGCATAACATTTCAAACATCAGCTGCAAGAAATCGTAATTACTTATGATCAATAAAGACACTGTAGATACAACAGCAAAGGATGCAATAAAAGTAAACCTTAAAACTGTTAAACAAACAGGATCACATTATAATTTTAAAAGCTCACTGTGTTGCATGAATCACAAGTTGATTCGGTCACGTTATTCTTTGTGTGTAAATACATTCTTCCTGTGTTCACCATTCGCTTATTTTTCAAATTTTCTTACTTTTAAAAGAAATTCTTTGTTGTATACAACTATCAACATATTGCTAGACACACAGAGATTAGTCAAAAGTTGCGTAAGCAAAGAAGGGAGGTGATGCATGATTGGACATGTGCCCTACCCTACATAAAATTTTACAGATCCCTCTTTTACCAAAGACAAGTATAGTTTATAGAGGAAAATTCAGCGTCCTACAGGTAGAAAATGTTCTCATTTTATTCTGCCTCCCCTATATTTTTGAACAAGTTTTACTGTCCTTTACAATGCAGCTTATTGTCAATAGTTAGAAAGTTGTTGAAGAACTTAAATAAGATTTCTCTTGAATGGTTAGTCATACATTATCGAGATGCTTCAGTAGCAAATTTGTTATGTAAAGTTACTAATATACTTTCAGAATCTCGTTATACTTTCGATAAATTGCCCTCGTTTTAAAAATAAGACTTCATTGATGACAAATGTGCAGACAAAATTATGTTTGCTTTAGTTCTTCACATGTCACATACCTTACAAAGAGGAGAGATTTAATATAAACAACGCGACCACATACATATCAGTTTAAAAATGGTGATGAAATTTCATACCTTATTGTAACATCAATCTTTTATCGTTTTGAGTTTTGTCACATAAACATTTTTAAATAGCGAACGAAAATGAATAGTGAGTCAGGATATCCTTCAACAAACAGTATTATAAAACATTAATGATGGCTATGTAGAACATTCTAGTTATATAACTAAGTATACATCACTGACTAAAAATAATTGTTATAGAAATAAAAACACAAAAATAAGAACCACATGCAGAGTACACAATAACATTGAGATTAGTCAAATTCCAAATGAGTACTGTCAAACGTTATAAAGTTTCACAAGTTTTAACTCAGGAATAGAGAATCACCTATCTAAAGCAGGATTTGAATGCCAATGATTACGACACGACTTTCGAAACTGTGAATCGATTTTTCCTTTCATTAATCAAAAATTCCATACTTGTATATTCTTACATAAGTCAGTTCTTATTATAAAAAACCTTTGTTATTGAATAAACCATTGTAAATTATAAATACATGGCAAACATCAACTGCACGCAATTATAATTACTTATGATCAATAAAGACACTGTAGATACAACAGTAAAGGATGCAATGAAAGTAAACCTTAAAACTGTTAAACAAACTTGAACAAAAGTATAATTTTAAATGGTCACTGTGTTGCATGAATCAACATTTCACAAAAATAGATTCGGTTGCGTTTTTTCTCTGTGTAAATACATTCTTCCTGTGTTAAACATTTGCTTATTTTACAAATGTTCTTACTTTTAAAATAAATTGTTTGTTCAATGCAATTAACAGCATTTTGTTAGACACACAGCGATTAGTCAAAAGTCGCGTCAACAAAAAAGGGAGGTGATGCATGATTGGACATCCTATCCTCCCTACATAAATTTTCACAGATTTTTTCCATAGACAAGTATGCTATTTTACCTCTCCCATACCTTTGAACAGGTTTTGCTTTCCTTTACCATGCAGCTTATTGTCAATAGTTAGAAAGTTGGTATATCAATTAAGATATGATTTCTCATGCATGTTCAGTCACACCTTATCAAGATGCTGCTTTATCTAATTTGTTATGTCGGTAATGTAGTTCTAAAATATCGCTAAATTTTTCTAAAATTACTTCCGTCTTAGAAGTAAGACGACCGTGTGAACAAAATTATGCTTTCTTTAGTTCTTTACATGTCACATACTCAACAAACGGATAAGAGATTTAATATAAACAACGCGACCAGATAAATATCAGTTAAAAGATGGTGATCATAGTTCATGCCTTATTGTAACATTAATTTTTCATCCTTGTGAGTTTTGTTGCATAAACACATTAATATAACGAGCGAAGATGAAAAATGAGTCAGGATCTCCTTGAACAAACAGTATTATAAAACATTAATGAGATCTATGTCACAGTATAGGGAATATACAGTAGGTCCACTTTGTGTGCAACTGGCTGCTGTGTATTTAATTAGATTACTGGCCGCCGTTTGCCATTTTATCATTCCTCTTGGTCAAAAAAAGCAATTGACTGGCTGCCACTA